GACATATATTGCAATATTGCATTTTTTTAAGAGCCAAGTTATGTCAACAAACACTGTGGCAAGATCAACTTCCGGCATGACAGTGCATGGACCTGCTTCCCGGTGAAACTGCCGAAAATTATTAAAACACACACATACACAAATCATTTGGAAATGGTTCTAAGGGCAGATAGCAAATGAAGAAACATCTATTCAAGAAAGTCAAAGATTTGGTAAGAAAAGTGAGATTCTTTGGTTTTGAACCAAGGCCACTTCCTCCCTCCCCTCTCCCAGCTCAGCTGGGCAGAGACTCTATTCCACACTAGTGCAGCCAAGAAGATGGGCTCCCTCCCCCGGGTCCCCAGGTCAGGGTTTTCTCCCCAGGAGGAGCAGGACATCGGCATTTCTCACCCTAGGCCCAGGTACCTACCTGGTGCTGAGGCTAAAACATGGAGGTTCCCTTTGTTGTCCAGCCCCTACTCATGGGGTAGAGGCACTAGGCTGGACATGGTACCACGGAAAGTGCTGGGGCCCCAACTGCCTGTGATGAGGTGGTGATAGCAGTGACAGGGTAGGCAATCCAAGAAGACCTTAAGCTACTATCTTTTCTCCCTTATGTAGCACTCATACTCTGAAGCAGGAGTGTCACTAAGTCAGAAGCAGGCAATTGTCCCCACCCACAGCCGCAGAATGCTAGCCCAGAGATTTTGGCTAGGGCATGGGAGAAGTAGGCCATAGAACAGATAGTTTGCAATTTCTTCCCAAAGGAATTTGCTTCATTTACAACAGAGCAGGGGCAAGTTCAAGCCTAAAGGCACTCTAAGAAATAGTGAAGGTTGTGGCAGAAAGCAATTGGGAGATTTGTAGAGCCAACAAAGATACAGGCCAAATTGCAGGCCTGCTAGTTGTCAGGAAACAACAGGAGAGAAACAACTGGGAGAGGATCTCCTGGGAGCAGAACAAATATCAAGCGCTGACTTTTCTAACTATTATTTCAAAGGAGCCCAGATTTGACTGGCTTTGTCTGTAGAGCAATTTTTGCCCCAGGACATCATGGAGAACAACAGAACAATCAGTCAGCAACTATGATCCTGCAGAAACCACTGTTGTCCCAGAGTGTGGGCCCAACCCTGCTCCTCCCCAAGAAACACCATCAGAGGCTTTACACCATGCAGCACTGGGTTGTGAGGGTGAAAATTTAGTTACTAAAATAACCCAGCCATTTACTAAATGAGTGAACAAGCAAATGACAGTAACAACCCGGTGGATGGTTGGGGTGCCAAGCAGAGTGTACATACAATATGGACATCATATCTAAAGTGCCCAGTCTCCAACTGCAACGACAACGAAACTAAAGACCTGCAGAGAAGGCATGACCCATACACCAGGGGAAAGCAGGTAACGGACACTGCCTGCGAGAGTGACAAAATATTTGATTTAACAGAAAAAGTCTTTAAAGTGGCCATTACAAATATGTTTCAAAAACTAAAGGAAACTGTGATTAAAGAAGTAGAGAAAAATGTACCAGCAGTGTCATATTAAGTAGAGAATATCCATGAGGAGATATGAATTACATAAAAAGAACCAAATGGAAATTCTTTTACTTTTGTTTTTGAATCCTCACCTAAAGATGTATAGATAGATAGATAGATATTATTTTATTTATTTCTAAAGAGAGAGGAAGAAAGTGAGAAAGAGAGGGAGAGAAACATCAATGTGTGGTTGCCTCTTACACACCCCTAACTGGGGACCTGGCCTGCAACCCAGACATGTGCCCTGACTGGGAAATGAACCCATGACCTTTTGGTTCTCAGGCTGGCTCTCAATCCACTGAACCACATCAGCCAGGGCCCAAGGGTATGTTTTCTACATTGATTTTTAAGAGGAGAGGAAGGAGAGAGACAGAAAGAGGAACATCAATGTAAGAGAGAAACATACACACCCCCATACATACCCCAACTGGGAATCAAACCCACAGCCTAGGTATGCACCCTGACTGAGAATCAAACCTGCAACTTTTTGGTGTGTGGGGCAATACTCCCACCAATTTAGTCACCTGGCCAGGGCTCATATAGAAATTATTGAGTTGAAAAATTACAGTAACTGAAATGAATTCACTAGAGAGGCTCAATGGTAGATTTGAACTGGCAGAAGAAAGAATTAGTGAAATTTAAGGTAGGTAACAGAGATTATGCAATCTAAAGAACAGAGAAAAAAGATGAAGAGAAATAAGTAGAGCCTCCGAGAAATGTGGGATGTTGTTAAGCTACCAACCAAAATATGCAACATGGTAGTATTGGAAGGAGAGGAGAGAAAGGAACAGAAAAAAATATTTGAAGAAATAATGGCTGAAAACCTCCCAAATTTACTGGGAAACTCTAGCCTACACCCAGTAAGCTTAACAAATTCCAACTAGGGTAAATGCACAGGCTCCACGAACAGATACTGCGTAGTAAAAGTGCTCAAGTCAAAGAGAAGGAAATGTTGAAAGCAGCAAGAGAAAAATGACTCATCACTTAGAAGGGAATCCCAATAAGATTAACAGCTGGTTTCTAAGCAAACACAATGGAAGCCAAATGGCAGGAAAACTTATTTAAAGTGTTTTCAAAAACCCACTGTTAACCAAGAATCCTACATCCAGCAAGGCTCAGATTCTCTCTGAGTTCCAGATTGATGGGGGTGACTTCATGGTAGACATGGCTATTTGGAAGTCCCTGGGGAACTCAGACCGACCGTTTCCCAAGCTGTCCTCCTCCTCACCTCCCCCACCCCCGTCCTAAGTGTGCTCTCGCTTCCATGCTCCGCGCCCCTGTGAGTGGACCACCCACTGCCCAGGAGCTCATTCTGTACTCCTGCTCCCACAGCCCCAGCCCCCACGTGCAAAGTCACTCCCCCCAACCTCCCTCTGTTGGTTTGCGTCACCTCATTTCCTTTACCAGCTTCTCAACTGTTCTGCCTCCACTTTGTCCCCTTTCTGACCCATGATCCCCACAGCATCAAGAAATATTTTTCTGAAATGCAAATCAGATCTTGTCTCTCATACACACACACCCTTCCAGGTCTCCCCACTGCCTTTCTCGTGGCAGGTGGCAGGCGCAGGGGGCAGGCAAGTCCCCTTCCTCTCTCTTGTCCCTGCCAACGCTGTAGCCTACCCCTCTGCTCAGGCTACACCGAGCCTGCCCTTTTCAAAATGACTTTGCCTGTTTCTGGTCCTACCCGGATGTTGGCCACTTCACTGGGGGTGAAGTTCCTGCCTTTTCTGCCCAGTTAGTGCCCTCATCCTTGCAGTCCACCTAGCGTTCCATGTGAGACATAGGGCTGAGCTACTGGGGCTGTGAGTGAGGTGCTGGCAGCCATGGGTCCCTAGGCACAGTCCCAGCCGAGTTGCTTTGACTGCGTGAAGATGGGCTTCGTGATGGGTTGCACCGTGGGCATGGCGAGTGGGGCGCTCTCCGGCATCTTTTCCTGCCCCAAGATTGGAATGGATGAGGTGATGGGAGGCATCAGGGACCAAGGCATCGGTGGAACCGTGACGCAGAGTGGTGACACCTTTGGCACATTCATGGCTATCAGGACGGGCATCCGGTGCTAATCTGATTGCCCACATCCACCCCATCCCATCAGTCCCGGCCCATGTACTATAATAAAGATTTTTGAGTAGTTAGAAAAAACCCGCATCCTTTAAAACACAAGCTGAATGATAACCTCCTCCAGAAAATCCTCTCCCGATTCTCATGCTGGGTTGGATCTTATTAGATCGTGAGCACACTGGACCACCTCCTCCACAGCATTTACCACACTGTGTTATAAGCTTTAAGTTTTCTTTTCCTTAAATTTTTCCAAACATTTTATTTACTTGTTTCTTATTTATCTAGCTTCCTTACTAGAATGTTTACCTGTACCTCCAGTACTGAGCTCAGTACCCAGCACGTAGTAGATGCTCAATAGGTGTTTGGCGAGTGAATGTTGAATGCATGTACAGAGGAGCGCAGTAGGAAACAGAAAGAGAAGTTAAGTTGTTCTTACAGTGACCCAGGAGGGAGGTGACAGGGCTAAAACCAAGGCTGGGGCAGCAGGGATGAGAAAACAGTGGGGTTGATAAAGACATTGCCTGAAATCACAACACAGGCTTAAACCGCAATCCTGAGCCCGTGTGGCTTGGGGCCCTGGTTTGAGCTGGTGCAGGCAAGCACCCCGTGGGTAGTGGCTGCTCTGGAAGCTGCCCTGCGAGCAGGGATGAGGTGCGGGTTAGTTGGTGGGGACAGAAAGTATCAAGGCAGCTATCTGCTGGCCAGCACACTGCCTCTCCCACCCCACCAGGGGCACTTCGGGGCCTGGGCACAGCAACAGGTTTGTGCGTCAAGCAAGAACTAAGCTCAGAGTCACACAGAATGGGAGGATGATGGGGAATAACCATCCCATTTGGGATGAACCTTGAAAATATTATGCTAAGTGATGGAAGCCAGACACAAAAGGACAAAGACTGTATGATTCTACTTACAGGAGTTAGTTAGCATAGTAAAGTTCATAAAGACAGAAAGAGAAATGGTGGTTAACGGGCCGAGGGGAGGGGAAGGGGGGAGTCTGCCTGATGAGAACAGTTTTTCTTGGGGAAGATGAGAGATTCTGGAGGTGGGTGGTGGTCACGGTTACACAGGGTGTGACTGCCCTGAACGCCATTGGATCGGACACTCAAAAAGGGGGAAATGGTGAAGTTGTTACGTATATTTTACAATAAAAAAATTTCTAGTAACCAAAAAAACAGAAAAGAAAAGATTATGTGAGACTGACGGAGTGAGTGGCAAGTGCAGCTCCGGCTGGAGGGAGGCGGGGGCGGCCTGGCTGTGCTTCGCCAGGCCCAAGCGGGAGTTCATCCTGTCACCTCAGAAAGAGGCCACTCAGGCCTCCAGCCTTTGGAAACCCACCAGCCTGAGGACTGCAACGCTCCCCTCACACGTGACCATTTCCCTTTCTCCTCCCCTCTCAGTGGCAGCTTGGCAGTGTGCTGAGGGAAGAGGAGGGAGCTTTGCTCTAGAATTCTCTGAACTGGGAGCCGGTAAGAAGATGATCTGGGCTGGGGAGACATTTGCGCTGGGCCCAGCTTACCCCAGCCTTGGGTCCTCTGGAATAAACATGCCCCCAGCAGGGTCCCCTGGGGCTCTGGGCGTGTCCCCAAGGCCGGAGCCAGCCTCCAGAGCTCTGGTTTGACAGAAGCTGCAGCTGGACATTGGCCTGCTGGGTCTCTGGCTCTGTGATGGTGGCTTATTGTTGAGGCACCTTCGGCCTGGACAGAGAAGATAGTGAGATGGATCCATAAACTTCCCCTCATTCCACTCACTGATGGCTCCATGCCCTCACTGATGGCAGGAAGCAAAGTGGAGAAATTCCATTAGTGAGGGCTTGGAAGGGAAGACAGGGCACCCAGGGGAGGGACAGGCATGATTCCAGGCCCTTAGGAGCCATGGTAGTTTTCTGACTTCAGAGAACACACACCCCAGAGGGGAGTCTAGAACTGACTCTACCATAATTCCAGATACAGGAGTTTCCTAATTCCCACTGCCTGACACCGACAGGAATGCCCCTTTTGCCACCTTAAAGCTCAGCAGCAGCGGGAGCAGCAGAGCTGGAAGCTTCCTGAGTGGTATCCAGGCCAGTGATGTCCCATCCCAATGATGTGGGCGCTGGTAGCTGGTTAGGTCAGAACAAGGACCAGACCCCCGTCCCCATCGAACCTGTAGCCTGTCCACATACCATTATTATTCTGAGCTCCCCCCTTTACCTCTAGTGGTGGGGGGTGGGGACTTGTCTAGGGCTGGCTCTGCCATCTTGTTGTGTCACTACATGATTTTGTTTTTCTGCAGGAGATGCTCTGGTAAAACAAGTAGAAAATGAATGTCAAGATGTTCTGCCTTTTGGCGGGCATCTTCTCTATCCTCAACACCATCCAGTTCCTCATCTTTGACTTGAACGAGGTTACGTTCCTTGGCTATGAAGAAAAGTGCACCATCTACATGGAAATAAAGTCCGGTTTAGCCCCTTGGATCTTGACCGACAGAAAGCACATCAGCATCACCCTGTCCATCATCACCATCAGCCTCAGCTGCCTGCTCCTCTACTGCACGCACAAGAACAAGTACAGGGGGCTGCTGTGCTACGCCTTGTGGATCATCTTCTATGAGCTCACCAGCTTCTGCATGGTCCTGCTCACCAATGCGATAATGAGAGAGCAGTTCAAGGAGCTGGGTTACCTGCACTTGATCTTCCAACTCTCCCGTATGTTCCTGCACTTCTTCTGTCTGCCCTTTATCATCAAGTATGTGTACATGCTTTATAAGGACCCCAAGACTTCAAGCAAGATAAGCCGACGCAGGCGCTCATCCGTCAGTACAATCGACTCGTGGCCGGGAATGATGTACCGCAAGATAAACTGAACAGAGCCAGGAAGGAGAGAGAGAGAGAGAGAGAGAGAGAGAGAGAGAGCTCCCCAACAATAGACCTCCCCTTTCCCTGCCTGCTTTCTGTTGGCTCTCCTTGTCTTTTCAGGGTTCTTGAGTTTTATGAGTTTAAGAGTGATTCTTGGAGGAGGGAGGGCTGAGGGGATGGATCAATTAATGTGCATGTGTGTTTTTATGGCTTTTTTTAGCATTGAATTATACGTGTGTTTACTTAGCCATTTCAGTGGTGCATATTGTTGTCTTTCACAGCCCCTCCTCTCTATGTGTCCTTAGTTTCTAGTTTTTCCCGTGTGGATTGCCCACAGATGCCTGCTTCTGTCCAACAGAACTTTCTATACTGATAGGAATGTTCTGCCTCTGTGCTGTCCCCAAGCTACATGTGGCTACAGAATGCTTGAAATGTGGCTCTTACAGCCCAGGACTTTTCAACACTTTAGTTCATTTTGACTTCAGTAGCCACACGCAGCTGGCTTGTCGCTGCCACACTGGAGAGCACGATCAGGCACAGCCTCTCTTACCCCTGCACGGGGACACTGCAGGAACTGCTCTCCAGCGTCGGGCATCACTCTGCTTCCCTCGAACTTTTCAGAAAACACTTCCTCTCATTGGCTTGTAACATGACAAGAAGAATCCCCATTCAAGGAAGCTCCAGAGTTCTCAATTTAAGCTCTATGGACATTTTGGACTGGATAATCCTGCCTTTTAGAGGGTTATGCTGTGCATTGCAGTGTGTTTAACAGCATCCCTGGTCTCTACCCACTAGATGCACTAATATCCCCTCACCCTTGTGACAAGCAAAAACATCTCATTGCTGCCCTGGTCAGGTAGCTCTGTTGGTTAGAGTATTGTCCTGATATGCCAAGGTTGTGGGTTCAATCCTCAGTCAGGGCACATATAAGAAGCAACCAATGAATATATAAATAAGTGGAACAACAAATCTCTCTCTCTCTCTCTCTCTCTCTCTCTCTCTCTCTCTCTCTCTCTCCCCTTCCTTTCTTAAAAAAATCAATAAAAATTTAAAAAATACATCTCATTGCCAAATGTTCCCTAGGGGGCAAAATTGCCCCCAGTTGAGAACCATTATTTTAAAGCGGTACACCCCAGCACTGAGAGCTGGGGTGTCACTACTGTTAACTGTGATGAAGAGCATCTTTTCTGAGAACTCTTTACATTCACTGCCTTGTGCAGTTTTAATCCTAATGTTTCCGTTTTATGGTTCGATGAAACTGAGACTGAAGACACTTGCTGTGTCATGGTCTCATGAGGGATGTGACTAAGGGCACATAGTGGTACAAGAAAGATTTGAATCCGGATCATCTGACTTCCTATACACATGTCCTATTCGGTCCCCTGAAGCACTCTTACTTTTACCAAGATTTTTTTAAAAGTGGGGGGACCTCACTTTTTAGGATATTTCTTTTTCTTTCAAAAAATGTTGGGAGTTAGGTCAAGGGTCACTGTTTGGACCACACCCCTGAACCAGGAGCATGGCAGTACCCACTCTTACTGAGCTCTTTATGAGTGCTGGGTGCTATCCTAACATTTCCCTCAATTCTGTCCACCATTCCACGATGCATTTGGACCCAGGTCAGTTCTCAAAATGACCACCAGGTGGCAGTCAGCAATAAGCTTTACCTGGGGCTGTTTCAAAACCTTGGCCAGATCCTCTAGGGGTGGCTTATTTGGGATTTAAGGAAACTCAAGCTGATGACCAAGGATTAATGGTGTGATTCCTTGCCGTATTCTCACAAGGTGTGCTTTGACTGGTTGTAACTTGTTATGAGAAACAAAAAATAAAACCTGAGCCGACTTCAAGGTTCTGCTCCCCCATCCCAGCTGGGGTGGTGGCAGATGGGGAGACCGGAGACCTGTGTAGAGAAGAAGTGGAGGGAGGGCAGGACTGTGAGCTGCCTGATGCGGGGCAATTTAAGGGTCTCAGATACAAGGCTGGCGCCCCTTTACACCGGTACTTCTCCAACCTGTTGTTTGCATCTGCCTCCACTTCCTGGCCTCCCGTTCTGTCTACGTCCCACTTCACGGAAATGGGACTGCTCTTGGGAAGGCGATCTCCACACCGCCCAGTCCCAGTTCAGTTCTCGGCCTTCTGTTTCAGGTCCTCTTCAGCCTTTGCCACCTGAACCCTCCCTGCTTTGCCAACAGTCTCTTCTCTTGGCCTACGGACACCAGGGCTGCCTTCACCCTCCATTGCCTTTGCAGTGCTCCAGGTTCTGTCCCCGGCCCTTTTCTCTCCTCTGTCTCAGTCACTTCCCGCTCTCACCCAGGCCCATTACAGTAGTCCCCGTGACGACTGCAGCCCGGACTTCTTCCCTGAACTGTACACTTGATGCAGTTGCTTCCTTGCGGCAGCAGGCTCCTCGAACACAGTTCCCAACAATTCCTGCATACTCGTCACCTCCCCTTCCATGTGGCCTGGGCCCCCGACAAACCCTGTCAGCTTCATCTTCAATACAGACCTACCCATCACCTCCACTTAAGCCACCACCATCCTAGCTTAAGCTGTCACCATCTTTCACCCAGACTATTGCAGCAGCAATGTACTAACTGGTGTCCCCAGTGCCACCCTCGTTCACTCTACGCCATTTCCCCACCCAGCAGTCGAAGGAATCCTGCTGAGCCCTTAGTCAGATTGTGTCTGTCCTCTACTCACGTTCTACCTGTCCTCCCTCCGCACTCAGACAGAGGCCTGAGTGCTTACCTGTCGTGCCAGGTGCTCAGCAGTCCAGTTCCCTGTCATCCCTGCAGTCTCCTTTCTAACCACTTTGGCCAGAGTAAGAGGAATATTCTTACTCTGGATAACCACTGGCTTCCTCTTTGTTTCTTTCACATGTCTGCTCAAAAGCTGTCAGAGAGACCTTCCTACCAACCCATGTGAAACAGCCCCTCCCCATCCTACTATCACCTGACTTACCTCTCTACCCCCCAAGATATGAGCACCATATTTCTTTGTTGGTGTTTTCCTAACACCTAAAACAACACTGGCATATAACAGGTGCTCAGTATGTATTTGTGGAGTGAATGGACACAAACCCTCAGCAGAATCGAATGGCCTGCTGTTCCTTGATTTCCAAATAGTGGTTACGACAGATGAGCTGGCGAGGGGCAGATTCCTGCTGCTCTCCTGCCACTCCTTCTCGGTCCCTCTTCTCTCACCCATTTCTGGAGTTTCTGGTGAACACTGTAAAGGTAAAATGCCGGCAGAGGACCTGGTTTTGGCTTTCCTGTCCCATTGCTCTTCCCTAATCCTTTTCCTTGCAACAGCTGCTGACACTGGAAACACCACCTCACCTCCCAGCGCTCCCTCACCAAGCCTAAAATGAACCTTGGAACAGTGCAGGGGCGCCTGGGAAGGACGACACTCTGAGAGCTGCCACCCACACTTGTGAAGAGCTCCAGCTTCCCACCCTCCCTTTCCTCACGAGGTTTGCACGTCTGAGCTAGGAGTATGCAATACCTTGGGAAGCCAGGCACAGCGCACATTCCCAGGGGCTCCCAGCCTACCGAGTGACTGGGTCACTCAGGGCCACCTACATCCAGTATGACAGGTGCTGGGAGCCACAGAACAAGTCCCAACCCTTGGAAGATAGAAAGTCAGGGAAGTCTTCCTGGAGGAGGGAATCTTTAGGCTGAGTCCTAGAAGAGAGTCTGATTTAGCTCTGAGAAGGGTGGAGAGGAACTAGAAAGGTGGGAGCCTGAAAAGGTGCAAATGCTCCTGGGATAGTCACTCTGTAAGTTCTTATCTGTCATCTCCACCTTGGGGTGAAGGAAGGGGCTCAGTTCAGGGGAAGATGGTGTCAAAAGAAAGTGATCAGGCAAGAACTTCCGCAGAGAGAAGAGGGTCTTCCCTTTTCCCACGGCCTCGTCATTTTGAGCATCTTCCTTCCCCACCTCACTGCTCTCCCCTGGTACTCAGACTTCTTCCAGCAGCGCGTCCCACGGAGGACAGATTCCACTGTGTGTTGACCTCTCCCACTGGTTTCAAGATGTGCAAATGTTTGTTTGTTTTACTTCTTTTTCCTCACAGCCTCAGGTCTCCATTTTCCCTGCTTCCTTCCCCCACACTCCCCTTATCCATCAGTTGCTACTATTCTTGGCCTTCAAAGCCCTCTTTTTTTCTGGCTGTGGTCCTGTGTGACGGTTGGTCTGCACGTGTGGACTGGGGCCGTGCTCTTTTTTCCCAGCCAATTTGCCCACCCAACAAGCAGCTCTTGGAGGCCCCAAGAGCCCGTCCCTGGGTGAGGCGGCCATGCGGACGGCGGGCTGCCTCCTGACTGTCCAGACGTGTTCACGTGGCAGCCGCTTGTGAAACCCCTCTGCTTCCTTCCCCTTGCCTTTGCCCCTTCACCAGTCACTAGTGAAATAGAAACTTATTCAAATGCTTACATTTTTTTCGTAAATGAATTATGAGTTTCTGGGAAATAGGCTTTACAAATGCCTTCTGACTGTATTGATTTTGTTTCCTAAACAAGGGCTTTGTGTGCCTGTGTCTGTGCACATGCTTGTGTGTGTTTGTGTATCTGTTTGTGAACATGAATGTTTCTATGTGCATACATTGGTGCTGTGTGTGTATTTCTATATGTGTGTGTTTGCACTTTGTGTATGTCTAAAAGGCTGAGTTAAACAATTGTTTGGTGATTATTAGAAATAACTTACATATTAGAAAAAAAGAACTAAGTTACATAATGGAAAAAAAGAAATAATTTACGTATTATAGATACCAAAAGGTCAGATGATTTCTTTTCAAAATCTCCTGCCTCCTATCAAAACTGTTGTTTCCCTTCTGAAATATATTATATGTGGACAACATGAGAATGCATCTTATTTAAAGGGGGATGTTGGTTTTCCTCTCGCCCCAACAGCGTGACGCTGACGGGGTGTGTTGTGTGAAAGAACTGTGGAGAGGGAGTTGACGCCCTCTTCTTTCTCAGACAGAGTCCTCAGGGGACAAGGACGCTTTCCAGAGGGGTTGGGAGACAGCAGCTGTAAGAAGTGCCCAGGCAGCTAGAGCTCCTACCAAATCTGCAAATAGATACTTGGCAACTCCTTT